GGTGGTGGCTGTGGCTGTGGTGGTGGTGGTGGTGGCTGTGGTGGTGGTGGCGGCGGTGGTGGTGGCTGTGGTGGCTGTGGTGGCTGTGGTGGTGGTGGAGGTGGTGTTGGTGGTAGTGGCTGTGGTGGTGGCTGTGGCTGTGGTGGTGGTGGCTGTGGTGGTGGCTGTGGTGGTGGTGGCGGTGGTGGCTGTGGTGGTGGTGGCTGTGGTGGTGGCTGTGGTGGTGGTGGCGGTGGTGGCTGTGGTGGTGGTGGTGGCGCGCGCCGAGCGAGCCGAGCCCAACCGGCAGGGTGCGAGGTGTCCGGGTGCAGACCAACAAACACGGATGGACGGACAGAGACAGAGATAAACAGGCACAGATGGGCGGATGGACGTAGAGAAGGAGGAGACGGGACATCGAGAAGGATGGACAGACAGAGAGACGGATGGATAGATGGACAGGCATACGTACAGACGGACATATATGGTTGGACGGACAGACTGGTGAACAGAAACAGATGGATGGTCACAGAGACGGACAGAGTGATGGACAGACGGACGGAATGTGTTTCGATCCAAGTGAGGGCACACTGAGACCGCAAGTCTCTTTATCAAGGGAGGTCTGGCTCTGTGAACAGGCACAACGGGGGAGTGGTGACGCAGTGGTTAGGGCACTGCGCTATGACCCCAGCGACCCGAATTTGATTCCCAGCCATGGCCAGCACCGACATGTTAACCGGTCACGGGAATACTGTTTACAAACCCGAACTGACCAGTGTGGGGAAGTAAAGTCAAGCAAACACCATGGCAAAAGCGCATGGGAAGTCCTTCTCCTAGCAGTGGATTGACAAAGGGCAACATCATATAACTCAAATCGTGAGAGAGACCTGCGCTTCAAAAACAACCACGAGAACAGAAAGAAAATTGCACTACAAGAAAATCAAGCGTAAAATACGAGAGCCGGTCGACTGGCTCCCAATCCAATTCCAGATCAATTTCATGATCACTCACAGACTTCAAGATCGTCCATAGACCTCATCACTGTTTACCCCCCCCTCCCATCTCGCTCCCCTCCTCACACTCTCCTACCTCTCCCCTTTCGTCTCACTCTGCTCACCACCACGCACTCTCCAACCTCTCATCTCGCTCGACTCTCCTCCACACTCTGAAACCTCTCCCCTCTCATCTCGCTCAACTCACCTCCATGCACTCTCTTGCCTCACCCCTCTTATCTCTCATCTTCCTCCACTCTCCTCCACACTCTCCAACCTCTCCCCTCTCATCCCACTCTACCCCCCTCCAACAACCAAGTCCCCCCTCAACCCCCTCCCCGTCTTAAAAGCCCCCAGTCAACCTTCTATTCCGCTGCCCCACGGCGTCTTGAGGTGCGGTCCCATTTAGCCCGAGACGCGATGTCAATCCGAATTGCATTGTGCAAACAGTGAGCTGCACACACTGCTCTCGCAAAGCAAAAGCAAAGCTCCCCAGTATAGCCTTCGACAGACGGCCGGGGCAAGTGCGGTTAGCGAGCACCTATTAACGCCGGCACGGATGGGTGGCCAACAACGTCGTCTGGCCGCCTTTGTCTCCCCCATTGCACCAGGCAACGCATTTGAGGTCGAGTCGACCTAGGAGAGTCGTAGCATCGGCCCAGATATTAATCGCTGGTGTTGGCACCTGCACACACATGCGCACAGCCACTCTCACCACTCAATGCCATCCTGGCACCGTCACCCCTTGCCGCTAAGCCCATTTTGTCAATTTGCCCCATCCATTCAGCCTCAGTTATTTTAAATTATTCTCCCAGTTTTAAGGTTTCATTTGATTACACTTCACATTTTTAAATTATGGTGTAATTTTAAATGCATGCTCGCGCATACGCAGGCACACACACACGTGTGTACAGCTCCACACAGAACCCCAACTCTCACCACCCCCACCACCACTAACAATACCACCACTTTCACCTTCACCACCCTTACTTCCATTATCTCAATCACCACCACCCTCACCTCCACCACCACCCTCACCTCCACCACCACCCTCACCTCCACCACCCTCACCTCCACCACCCTCACCTCCACCACCCTCACCTCCACCACCCTCACCTCCACCACCCTCACCCTCCACCACCCTCACCCTCCACCACCCTCACCCTCCACCACCACCACCCTCCACCACCACCACCCTCCACCACCACCTCTCTCACCACCCTCACCTCCACCACCACCTCTCTCACCACCCTCACCTCCACAACCCTCACCTCCACCACCCTCACCTCCACCACCCTCACCTCCACCACCCTCACCTCCACCACCCTCACCCTCAACCACCTCCACCACCGCCACCCTCACCACCACCACCTCCACTCTCATCACCACCACCTTCACCACTACCGTCACCGCGCACTCATGCATGGGATGACACTTGCACTCGTGATATTTTCCTTCCAACGCTCATTCCTTTCCGTTCCAATTTGTATCTCGTTTATCTTGTTTTGTCCTCCGCTTCCCTCTCCAGCCCCGTCGCACAACCATCTCTCTCTCGCTCGTCCTCCCTATTTGTCTCTCCCCGCTCTCTCGCCCCTTACTCCCCACCACTCCCCCCCCGCTCTCACGCCCTCATTCTCTCTTCCGCAGCCAAACACGGTTACATCACATCCCGCTCATGCGGAGAGACAACACAGAAATAACCTACGACGCCGACTCACCACCCAAAATTACAATTCACGGGGCTTGTGCAGGGCCGGTATTGTAGAACGGCGACCGCACACAGTCAGGCTCGTTAACACAATGGGTTAACACAATGGAATAACACAATGGATTAACAAAAAGGATTAACACAATGGGTTAACACAATGGAATGACAATGGGTTAACACAATGGAATAACACAATGGACTAACACAATGGATTGACACAATGTAATAACACAATGTAATAACACAATGGGTGAACACAATTGATTAACACAATGGATTAACACATTGGGTTAACACAATGGGTTAACACAATGGATTAACACATTGGGCTTTTCCAGCCGCAATGTGTGCGTGTGTGCGCACGTGCACGCGAGACACGGCTGATCAACGCAGCAGATTTAATTTAGCCTCATGCACAAGAGTGGAACAAACACGTTCCCCAGTAAACACGCCAATGTTGGGCCAACGTTGGCAATTTGGTTGGAGCCCATCGGACCCACGTTGGCTTAACGTCGCCTCGATGATATATTTTTTCCTCTCATCGCCACGATCATGTCTGGTCCAGTGCTCGCGGAGCTGTTATTGGTTTCCGGTAGACAAATGAATACGTTAAGGTCGCGCCCATTACACACAAAGTGCTTGGACATAGATGACCCACAATACCTCGCTGATCGCCTAAAGGGGCAATACACCAATCACGCAATCTCCGGTCATCCGCACAGCAGCGCCTTTTTGGCTGACCATCGAACAAAGGCGGTCACCGCATCGTGCACTTTCAGATGATATTCTGCGGCCGTCTGGAACGCTCTTCTGATATTAAGAGGCCACAGGAGCTAAGCACTTTTAAATCATCTAGACTGAAGACTAATTTCTTGAGAACTGCTCTTGGTGTTTAAGTTGTTGTCTTCCCCCCGCACCTACGATTAACACGGTTGGCTACGTACGGTGCGAAAGAAGTTAAACATGCGTACGCACGTTTTATTCACGAGCGCGTTGCGCTGCTTAGTCACGGGCGGAGAAGAAGAGGAAGACATCGAGCCTGGACTTTAACCGGAAGAGGGAGTTGACAGCACCGATGACTATTCCAGACAATGATCAGGAGCGAACTGTCCTGCTGCCACATCACTCTTGCTCTCTGCTGGCCGACTGCTTTGCATCACAGGCCGCTTGTGGGCCCGTGCTCGGCATCTGTCATATCGCATGTGATACTCATTCATATTTAGACACTCGAGGACTAATCGTCCGAGTCGACCCGCCAATCGGGATTTGAACTCGCAACAAAAACTTGCGATCCTTGGTGGACCTGCCAGTCCAACGAGCGAGCCTCCACCAGCGGAAGGTGCAGTCAGCGGTGATTATTTCCGATAGTCTTAAGCCCAGTCGACGGCAAGCTGTGGAACGTTTGTAAAGTCGCCTAAAGCTGCGAAACACCGGGTCAGACACGCTTAGTCATTGAGTATTGGTGGAAGGGGGCATACAATCTTCACCCTCCCCCCTCCATATTATTAGGTTCAGCCAATCAGTGAACTTGGTAAAAATAATAACAATTACAAAAAACAGCACAGTATAGAGCCAGTAACCAATGTTGGCCTTAGTTGGTGCACTGTAGTCTCTAATCACTGTATTAAGCATTTCAGGGGAGCCACAGTGGCGAGATGTTAACTCCCTCGCCTGGTGTACAGGAGGTCGTGGGTTCGATCCCATCCCTGACCACTGTATTTTTGGAGTTTGCATGTTCTCCTCGTGGTGGCGTGGATTTTTCTCCGGGTCCTCCGGTTTTTCCCTCCACATTTAGAAACGTGCGTTTAGAGTATTTGGCTGCGATACATTTCCACGTGATAAGCCACTTCGTTGAGCTGTCGTTTGTGGCCAGGTCGCTTCTAAAAATTAGATGCGTAGCTCAGTGGCCCTTACCTGGTAAAATAAAAAAAATCGTTTCGTTTAGTCTTCAAACTCGGTTCAACTCTTCTCTTCTCGTCACGGTCAGTCATGCCGAGGTCTGTGGTGGTGATGATGGTGATGCTGTTGGTGGTGATGGTGGTGATGGTGGTGATGGGCAGCAGTCATAATCACCGCCGCTCTCGATGATTCTCCTCCGCTCACAGCCACCGTTGTCCAAGACTAGGAAACACTTTGCTGGCAAAAACCTCGGTCATTAGTTTCATTAAAAAAACTGGCTGCTCTCATCAATGTCCCAATTGTCTGCTCATCCGATTATCAGAGGCCCCGAATCAATCAGCAAAACACGCTATTATCCACACATCACTTCTTCCTATTAACCTTCCCCCCCCCCCCCCCCCCCATGGAGTGCCACCTCTGACCTCTAGGTAGGTTTGCACGGCGTTGCAGAAGGCCTCGTCCGACGCGATCTGCAGCTCCCCATTGAGGAAGGCCATGAAGCGCTCCTTCACCTGCTGCAGCTGCTGCTTGGTCACCTACACGCGCACACATGCACACACACACACACACCGTCGCATCCGTTATCATCATCATCACCACCACCACCAGGGGTCTTTACGGAACCACCACAAATGCATGAGCTACCGTCAACACTGTTCCGGATGCACCCACGATCATCAACATCACCAACATTGTGTCCGTCATCATCGCTGGCCTTCAGGCACCGATCCTCACTAATGCATCAGTCAACATCACCTCCGATTAGCACCGTTGGCTATGTACGGTGTAAAAGAAATTAAACTTAGATGCATACATCAACATTGTACCTGACGTACCCACCACCACCACCATCATCATCGGGGTGAACTCAACAATCGTTTATTTTCATGCGCATGTGGATACGAGTTATTTATTTTATGTGTTTTTTCTCTACACATTAAGCTTCTGTTCAGTGTTCCCCAGATGCGGTTGCACTTAGTCACGATATGAATCATACTGTATCACCACTATTATTATCATCACCGGTATCATCGCAGTCATCGTCATCCTTGTAATCATCATCATCGCATTATAGTCGGGACAAATATTTTTAATTCTCAAATTCATTTTAGATCCAACATTTTACGTGTGTTTTTTTGTGTGCAGTCATTATTCACCGGGCTGAGACGACCAACTCACTACACTGGAGAACCCGGTTAAATAACAGGCAGCGTATAAAATCTGGAATCGAACCTAGGGTCTCAGTAGTGCTGGGTCAACGCTCTGACCTCTGAGTCACCCAGCCTCCTCATCTCACCTCCAGGCTCAGGCTCAGGCCTCATGGTGAACCCTTATGGGCCATGCGTAATTAGTACAAAGGTATACAAGTGAAGCTGTGAGGCCTCTGGGGCGAGAGCCACAGCACAACGCATGGCGAACGAAAGTGGGTCACATCGTTACTGCTTCGGGTTATTAGCATTTGTTTAACGTTGTTTTTTTATATATTTAGTTTCACCTTAACGTTTCACATTGTGCCCCCACCCCCCACCTCCCCCATCTCTCGCCAGCGTCTCTCGTTCCTCCAAATCATCATCATCGTCATCGTCGTGGTCATCCTCGCCAGGCCCCCCACTCTTAAACGCCGGAAGTCCAGATGCGGCACGGATTGATTTGATTGGTAATTTATGGCTCCGCGCGACGCTCAATCACGACACCCGAGCCGCGGTCAAAAATAAAGTTTCCTCTCTGGCGGTGCGTCTGGAAGGGACAGAGAGAGAGAGATTTCCCGCGGGATTGGGGGGCACTCAAGAGGGGGGGAGGTGAGCGAGAGAGATCGCGACACCGAGAGTGTAAACGCCGCGTCAAGACTGACGACGATTGGAGAAACTGACGGTGGTGGCGGTGGCGTGACCGAGAGCACGGAGGCGCCAACGGCCGTACGTCATCTCCGCGCCCTCAACCAGGGGGACATCGTGGCCACTCGGGATCTGAGAACTAAAATAGAGCCAACAAGACCCTAAACCACCCCACCACACAGACAGATAACCCCCCCCCCCGCCATGTATAGCCTCCAGCAGACTCTTGGGGAGGGGGGGAGCGCTGCCAGCACACGCGGCGTGCACGCAAAGTGCAGAGACCACTCCCAGCGTGGCTTCGTTTCCCGCGCGACTAACACACGTTCGTCATGGATGCGTAGGCAGTGGCGCAAAGGCGCAGAGAGAGGGAGAGAACAATTCTATGAAGAAAGGCCGTTGGCCAAAACATTGCCTGCAGGAGATTTACACGCGGTCCCCGCACACTTTGGGGCAGCGTTATCGATGAACGTGCAGAGTTTTTGTAATGTATCACTTGGATATTTCCCAGGTCGTTGGTAGATTAGGGTTGGTGACATGAACTAGTTGTGGCAGTGACCACAGCTATTGTTGGAGGTATCCTGGATGCGGTGTGCAGGGAGCGTAAATATGTTCTCGGTCGCTGGCGGACCAGCCTACCTACTTACAAGTCACGTGGCACTCATGATCGATGTGATGTGCCAGCAGCGATGGCGGTTTTCCGGATCCCCCGGCTGTACGTGTGCATGAAGAACGTATTTCTCACCGTACAGAGCCAACAGTGCTAATCGGAGTTGCGGGGGAAGGGAAATAAACTTAATGCAAAAAAGCAGTTCTGAAGGAATGAGTTTTCAAATCTAGGTGAATTAAAAGTGCATCGCTCCAGTGGCTTATTAATATAATTGGAAGGAAGCGCGTTTCAGACCTCCGCCGAAGGGTATCCTGAAAGGGAGCGATGTGGCGAGCGTCTTTGTTCGATGGCTAAGCCAAAAGCCGCTGCTGCGAGGCTGAAATTAAGCCCTGCCCTCGGCCCATCGCTCGGCCTTCAAGAAGCGCATCTTCCCCAAGAACCTCCGAGCCGGTGAGAAATAAAGAGCGGCGCGCTGCGCATTCGCGACGCGTAAACACGCCACGGTGACGGCTGCTAATTCAGGAGCCTCTTTCTCACCGCCAGAGATACCAATTTTCACCCTTATCCCCACTAACAACGCCGACAACGACAACAACAACGTTTGCCAGGGCAGGAGGAGGCTATATCTGGAGCCGCTTGCTCTGCAGAGACGGTGAGGTCATCTCTCTAATTGCCAGCCACTCTGCTCCTCTCGGGACCCATCTCCTCCCGCCGTTCGCCTACAACCGTCTTCAGCGACTGCCGTTACCTTTTAACAAGCGCGTTGCGCCGCAGTGGATGCCGAACAGCACGTGGCGTCATTTGTGAGGCCGCCGCCAGGGATTCATTTCTCAGCGAATATTTCCGAGTTGTTGGTAGCAGCAGCAGTAGCTGTAGCCTTGGTCCATAGCGAGAGCAATACTGGATGTGGTGTGCAGGTGCGGATATGTTGCTGGTAGCCGGGATTGTGTGGCCTGTGACTTGTAGTAGCCACAGCCCATAGCAAGACGTGTCCTGGATGCGGTGTGCCGGGTAAGGAAATCGTTTTTTAAAGCAAACATTTGCAATGTTTTAAAATGACTATCAATACATGAGCAAAGGAGTGGTGGCGTGGTGATCAACGGAACTGAACCCTGAACCAGGCGGACAGAGTTGGATTAAATCGGCAGACCTGGGGTCAATCATGGTTACAATTGCAACAGCATTGGTAGCGGAGATTACAATTACATCGAAATTGCAATGCATTACGACTCCTACAATTACAATTGTGACTCACAATCTGGTCTGATTCCTGGTCCCGGCCACCATAGGTAGCGAAGCGTTATCTCAACGGGACATTTGGGTTTTTCCATTCACAAACCCTCACTGGCCAGCGTGGCTGAGTATGGTAACAAAGCAAAGAACTAGCAGGGCAATGGCAAAATTATATATTTTTTTAAATGACAAAAAATTAAACGTGGGTGGCTGGTTCTGTTTAACTGCACTTGTCACGTCGTACGGAATGGAAATGAACTCCCCCCGCGGGCCCTCGGCCGCGTTACAGCGCCGGATGATTAAGCGGAATATTTAAGGAGCGACATGAAAATGTAATAATAAAAAAACTTTTTTTTTTCGTAACAAAAAAAATGAACGCCGAGTGAATTTAGAGGACGAGCGTTGGCGTTCTCCGAACGCCGCGCAGATCGCCAAGTCGCCGAACAATTGCAAAAGGTTAACGTCCCTATTTAAGGCGACGAAAAAATACACGATTGCAACTAACAGAGAAATGTAAATATTTCGATTGTTCACTCTTCAACTGTGTGATTGGTCTTCGTGTTAAAAGAGATCAAATATCCCATTTGCAACTCCGCGGTAAGCAGTGCATCACCCCGTGTTAAAGAACGACCTCGGAAGACGACGACGGAGGATGATTTCTGAAGTCGCTTCACACGGCATCGTTATTCGCGCGCGTACACATGCGCACACAGGCACGCGTACACACATGCGACCTTCTGTCGCCATGCAAACAGTTATCGTGACCAATCAACAACATTTCCTGGACTTGAGTCGAATTGGGTGCAGATAATGCGACGGGTTTTTTTGCGCAACTATCCTTTACCAGACTGGGACCTAGAATTCGACCAGACTTGAGGACCTTGTTTAATCGCAGGTGGCCGAAACCCAAATTCAAACCCAGGACGTTAACGGTTCTGGCTCAACGCTCTGCCTTCTAAAAACCGTGATGAAAAACGAATGCAGCTTACAAATCTCAACACATTACCAAACTGCTTGCACTGTGGCAGCAGGACTTTGGATAATGAGACTTCTCCATGTAATGTTCAGATATTTGTCTGCATGCCTTTTTCTGCCAGGGTACATATCCATATGTCATGTGCAGGTAATATGCACACCGATTAAAACATTCTTTTTCGGGGTTAATCATATGTTGCTCTTGTTGCCTTTCATGATCTCTTTACCCACACTCAGGCCACAGATCTTAATGCCCCCGCAAAAGTGTCCGCCACAAGTCTACAAAACCAAACATTTAAATCCTCAAGCGGGAATATAGCTAAATTTGGCTGAAAACGCAAACACTGTTAGATGCTTTTTTATACAATTGATTTTTGGCTATCAGGCTGAGACCATCAACTCACTCGGTGGTGGAGGTATATAAATCACAGTCCAATCCCATGCTGTTGTAACCCAGTCCCGCAGGCTATGTGACAACCCTATGAGCTTCGTGGTGCCCTTCCAGCACCATCCAAGCTTACCCCAGCTTAGCTTCCGAAATCTGATGAGATCGGGTCCATTCCGGGCGAGGCAGACAAAGGCTCGCTGCTACGTACCGCTCTTATTTGCCCGGGAATGCCTCTGCTGGTCTTGAGAACCCAGTTTAGACACAACCCAGATGTAAACCCGAGTTTTGTGAACAGCCGGCTCGACGACCTGACTTTATCAGCACCCGGCCGCCTCCTAAAATAATAAAATGTCGTCTAGAAATCTTAAATCGCGTTTAATCCAACACTTCTGGCTCCGTGGGGGTCTCGGGATAACAAGACGCCCTTCTGTAGCGCATCACAGGGATCTCCACAGGGAGCAGGAGCAGCGCGCAGGAGCCAGTGGCGTGCGTTTGTTC